ACAAACTGTAACGGACCCTGCCGTGTTATTTATGATTACTCTACGCTTACATTCATAATGTCAGCCGGAGGGAGGGGGGGCGGCGCTGCGGAAGAGCAGATTGCCTGTCATCTTCCCTTTACAAGCTTAAAGAATGTATTTATCTTGTGAGTTTGGAAATAAAATTTTCATATTCTGAAAGCCAAGACTTTGTTTGTTTAAAATCAAACAAAACACCCGAACCCCGAAAAAAATGGTTTTTATGCAAATCCACGTTTATTTTGAAATGAGCCGTTGCGACTTCCGACTGATTTCGATAGAGCGGGTCACATATTCATGCTGAATAGCAATTTTTAAGAGGGTGTTGCTATATACTAATAGAGGCGTAAAGGATTTGAGTTCATCTACATTCAAACCAGAATTGCTCTTCTCCGATGTTTTTATAAAGACCTAACATGTTAACACGCTCGTCGATCTGTGTCAAATATGGGATAAGTCCAAGGTACAAGAACGGCTGTCCAAGACTCACGACCTGGTTTGACTCTAATGGATCCAGCGTTGCTTACAGAGATGAGCTGGTCAGTGAAGCATGACTCTAGTACTGCGCCCTTTGCACTAAACTCAGCAGTGACACACGAGTGGCAGCATCTCTCCACCGACAATGGGACATGTCAGAGCTAAAGCCACAAACACTACAGCTGGTCTGAACAGCTCGTTAGTCCTTCATTACGCCAGGTGACAAGGTGTCCTTTCCTGAGCACTAAGTCCTCATCCCTGTATGAGGTTTGGCACGCCAGACGACATATAAGCGACAGGAGAAAGCAGGTAGAAAAGGAAATAGTAATGGGAAGAGGAAGCAACAACCAGTCACAAAGCTTCTATGTACATGCATGTTTTTATTTGTTAAGATTTCGTAATGACTCACACCTCTACGGTGGCCCTGAAGTGCAAGTCAAAACAACATTTCAGAAAACGCTACAGGATTTCAGAAAACACCACAGCATTTCAAAAAACGCTACAGCATTTCAGAAAACGCAACAGCATTTCAAAAAACACTGCAGCATTTCAGAAAACACAACAACATTTAGGAAAAAAAAACAGCATTTCAGAAAACGCCACAGCATTTCAGAAAACACCACACCGTTTCAGAAAACACTACAGCATTTCAGAAAACACCACAGCACTTCAGTGTTTTCTGAAATGTTGTTTTGACTTGCATTTCAGGGCCACCGTACACCTCTACAAAGTTTGTGAAATAATATAGAGATTGGCCATTTAAAACTCACAAAACAAAGCTGAGATGTGCGGGGAAGTAATGAGTGAAATGCAGAAGAATGTAAAAATCAAACGATCAAACAAGCAGGGCCTTATGCTCAGATTCAAATAATCCCCTAGTGTGTGAAAATCCACAAAATAATAATATAAGTTGATTGGCTTCATTTTCTATCCAATTAAGTTGTTTCATTTTCCCACTGTGTGCTATGATTCCTGCTGCTACTGACTCCCTTTAATTGTCCTGATAGGGATGTAAATATGAAATACAATTTATCTGATAATGTTTTGGTAGAAGTAAATAAGTTTAAACTGTTTTTCTCATTTTTCCACATTGAAAAAAGTGATGTCATCTTTCATGAGGACACTAGTGACCACAGTTTACTGTTAACAGGGTCTTCTGGTTGTGAGGGGAGGTCAGAACATGCCTGTCGGCAACAGTAACTCAAACAACCACTCGCTACAACCAAGGTATGCAGAAGACCATCTCTGAACACAACCGACCTGGATCCGTCCTGCCTTGCATCAACAGTTCAGGCTGGTGGTGGTGGTGTAATGGTGTTGGGGATATTTTCTTGTCATACTTTGGGCCCCTTAGTACCAATTGAGCATTGTTTCAACACCACAGCCTACCTGAGTATTGTTGCTGACCATGTCCATCCCTTTAAGACCACAGTGCACCCATCTTCTCATGGCTACATCCAGCAGGATAACGTGCATTGACACCAAGCTTAAATCATGTCAAATCAGTTACAATTATTGACAGATGTAATATATATGCTAAAAAAGCTATCGCTAGCTGGTAAAAAGGCCTCACACTTCCCTATCGCCCCCCTCTTTCAAAAGATGGTAATTTTGGCTCCAAAAAAACAAAAAACAAACTCAGGGTTGAAACACCAGTTCATAAACCAATGGGTGACGTCAAAGAAACTACGTATATCAGTTGTATGAAACTCATGGCTGCACTATAACCAGTTCTCTTCATAAATCTGTGAGACAAACAAACAAGAGCTACTAGTGGGAATTGTAACTGGTCTTAGCAGTGTCAGCACCTCAGGTAGGGTTGTCTTAATTACTACTGCCACCAGCAGCTCCACAGTGTTGCTCATCTGTTGGATCAGTACCAACAATTAGGATTAACTAGAATAACTTGTTGATCCTCTGTATTTTCATCTTGCAAAGGTTGTTCCTTTCAACACGTTTCTTTTCGACCATCAGGCTCAGCTATATTTTGTGTTTAGTGGTAATAAGCAAATGTTAGCATGCTAACAAACTTAACTATTGTACATTTGTAAACATACTTAACATTAGAACTGCCAGACTTCACCATTTTAGCATTGTCAATGTAAATATATCTATTTTTGTAAATCTCTTTTCACGCAGCGATTCTATTTCTTAGATTTTGTCAGCACTATAGTTTATAGTTTATTCATATCCCTGGTGTAGAGTACATAATCATAGAGTTCAAAGCTGCAGGAACACACACATTTGTATTCGGTGATGGTCCTTTGGGTTTCTGTTGCTGCCGAATCAACCACATAGTGGCATACAGCCGCGTTTACCCCAAACAGACTGAAAAGGGTTATATTTGAATAACACTGTGTCATCAAGGCATTTACTTTGAAGATTTAAAAAGAGATTAAATAAAGCCTTAGGGTGCAACTATAAGCAGTGTGAAATGAGGCAGGCTACACTGTCCAACAAGTGATAGATAAGTGATTTAAAAATGCATAAAAACTGACAAAGTGGCAAATCTCCGCCGGGAAAACCAACAAAAAGAAGAGAAGTGAATATGAGTCCACGACCCTATAGCCATGCTCTAATGCTCATATCTCTTGGTACAGGTGTCAAGCAATGCTTCTCCAGATCCTGGATATGCACTGCTACCCCTGCGAAGGCAGCTCTCTTGAGTCCATATTAGCGACGAAGACAAGGTTAGCGAGGAAGTAACCAGAGCTGATCTGCTAAGGTCTGTGGGAGATGCAGTGAACCAGAACTGTGGCTTCACTGCGTGGCCAGTCAGCTGATTAAGCTAGTGTCTCCGGAGGACTGGGCGAGGGAAACGAGGTGAAGGAATAAAAGACATCGGTACCTCAGCTCACTCCTGATTATGAGGATCTTGAGGCAAAATCAATAAATAGCTGTGTCTGTATTAAAGGTTGTACATTTGACCATTTCAGATTCTGTTTTTCTGGGGATGTAGCTCCTTTTTCAAACTGAATGTATATGATGTTGGTAATGATACATTTATTTTGTTTACTTTAAGTGCTTTATTTCGTCTGGTTATTGAAATTCAGCATCATATGTTTGTGTTGTTGTTATTTTCGGGAGAAGGTTTGCGTAGCACACATGCAACTTTTCAACAAAAGCCCATCTGCCCATTTACACAGCAACGCAAACTCACATCAGGGAGCTATAATTAAATGGTAATGGTTTGCAGTTCGCTATCTGAATACCATATTAACTTCACCCAGAAGAGTTTGTTGTCTCTCATTCATTATTGCCTACCGCGGTTGGAGAGGGTGCCCTCCTTCATACACCTAATGACACACTGTGCAGATGAACACCTTGGAGAATGACTACACAAAAATGGAAAGCATGACAGAGGATGCTTTAGTGGGATAATGAAAAGCATCACCCCATAACTCAGAGCTCAGACAGTTTCAGCTAAATAAAGCTTCTTTGTGTGTGAGATATCCAACATTATATGAACCTAAAAGGAGTTTGATTCGTTGTCAATGCAGCGACCTTCAGGCAATGCATTCAGATGACATCACAGATTACAATGAAGGCTCTTGAAGGCTGTGTGTAAACATGTTTTCAGGAAGAAAAGAGAGGAGTTTTTCACTGCAAAACAAGGAAATAAAGACGTAACCTTGGTTTAATTCATCCAGTTGGGTCTTCAGGCCATGTTTTAGTGACGACTGAGCTTGTAGCTTGTGAACAGCTCGTTCTTTAAGTGGCTAGACAATCCCATCAAACAAAAGTGTTTTAATTGGTAAAATACATCTATATATATATATTATATTCCTTATGTCTGGTGCGGGAGAGAAACTTCCTCTGGAGGGAGCTTTGGGATTTTAGCCTTTGCAGACCATTTACCAAAATAATAATTTCCTGGCAAATTATTTTAGAATATGTATATGATTGTTTTTTACTGTTAAAAGAAGAAGACTTATTTTCTGCTAAGGAAACTACTGAGAGGAAAATATTGAAATAACATACATTACCGTACCTTTATCAATGTACATGCACAAAAACTTATATAGCACACTAAAGGAAAGGGAAAACCCCAGAAAGCAAATTAGGTAAACAACTATTTAAATAATTAATAATAATATATATGTTAAAAGTGTTCTGTAATGTTTGCTTATTCCATCCAGGTCCAGTTATTTCCATCAGGCTAAATAAATCATTTCAAAAACAATGTATACACAAGCAGAAAATACAAACATTCACTTGTATCCATTCCAATACCCTTAATATCTTGACAATAATCCAATGAGGCTATTTGTAAGTTATTGATTAAAGATTAGAAAATGTAGACTGCATTTGAGCAATGCTGAAACCATGGAGCCACAGTATCTCTACATTCTCTTCCTCAAGTTCTATTCGTTGCTCGACTTTAAAGCGTAATATCAATTTAAATAACGCACTGTTCTGATAATTTGCTCATGAGGATTTTATGGATTCAAAATCGTTCAGATAAATGGCGACAGTATGTGCCGAGCAATGATTTAGTCATTTACCTGAGTGTTGAGGCTGGAGCTGTCAACGGCTGTGACAGAGTTCCCACAGCTCGCCCACACAGAGTCGTCCAACACCAGCAGGGTCCGCACCGGTTCTGAGCCCACTCTCACACACCTGCAGGAGTCCTGGTCCCAACAATCATCTAGGGAAAAAGAAACCCAACAATGAACAAAAAAAACTAAAGCCCCGCTCTAAATACAACAAAGATATCACAGGGGATCAAAGAAACAATCAAAATGACTGGCTGTTATCACCGCTAGCCTACCAGTTATACTAATATGCTCTGAACACATGCCACTTCTATTTGAACGCTGTCGCATTGAGCGAGGCAATTACATTTAATTCTTCCCACTCGTATCACAGCAAGTTGGCTCTGTGTTTACTTTCAAATTTCTCTTAAAGCAATTTAATGTCATTGAGCAAATAGTGAAGCATCAGCAGAGAGGGCTTGGAGTGTAGTCTCGATGAGGGAGAGTACGAACAACAGGTTGACTAAATAAAGACCGGGACTTTCATTTGGATTGCCACACACTGCGCAGCACAATGTTTGCACCTTGGCCACCCACATGCTAATATGTCTGCATAGACTTTAATCTACTTTCCACTCAGTTCTCCTCGCACTCGCTGTCTCGCATTTCCCTTTTGCTTCATCAGTGTGAAAATGAAGCAGATCCTCTTTGAGCTTTAATCCCGCCGCTGCTACCACCGCGGAAGCACATTATAAAGCGAATTATATAAGCATTTCCGTTGCTATGCGTTAATGAAGCAACCTTCGAGAATGGGGTGCACCCAGCCATTTAATTAACATTTTAGTTGTTTATTTCTGCCTTTCATAGCAGAATGGCTTTACAATGCCTTGTGACTCTACAGGTTAATTGCTTGGCATGTTATAAAGGTCATTTCTTTTCCACCTTTTCAAAATTCACTCTTGTAAATGTCCCTACGGCTTCTTGTACTATAAGACACCATGCCGGCGCTTTCCCCTCTTTAGCACAGCGGGGGACCAGGCTCTTTGTTCCACAAACTTCTCTCCTTTTCTTGAAAATACTTTCATTGTCTGATGAAATTACATGGTGTGCATATCTAGGGAGCGAAAGCTTGATCACGATTCCCAAAGATCAAATGTTTGGCAAATTCTTACACGTTTCAATACAAGTCTCAGCCTCGTAATTTCCTGGTTGCTTCAGACTTGTTTAGACAGTAGCACGCTAAGTGAAGGGCATACATCTTTAACAGATGTGCCAAATCCACAAACATTCCCCGGCACACTCCAGAGCTTTTCTCCTGTCCTTTTTTTATATACAAAGCATGCATAGTAATATTTAATCGGCAGGCAGCAGCTTGCTGTAATTAATCATCCTTTCTGCTTGGGAGGAGCACAGGAGGAAGGCAGGCGCGTTGACACACTGTGGCCAGGTAACAGGAAGTCTGTGATAGAGCTATTGTGCCGGCGCTGGATGTGAAGACCGCAAACCGCTGCTGAGAAGGTGTTAAGCCCCCCTGGCCTTTTGCAATGCCTGACTAAACATGTCATGCCATCAACCACGAAGTGAAGTGTGATTTTCATACTTGGTTGTGAAAATCAGTAATGGTAAGTATCGTGTGAAGGTAAAGCAAAGGTAAAGTGGGTGTAAGCTAGTAGATTGAGGAAAAAAAATATTTGTTTACAAATAATACTTATATTTATTGACCAAATTAATAATAATACAAATTAAACGATATATCTACAGAGGTGTATTAGAACCTATTATTTTCTTAGTATGAAGATAGTTTTTGCTAAAAGTCTTTGAGTACTGTTTTACCCAATATTGTCAGCAGTGTGAAACGTAACACATTTGATGTCATGTGAAAATGTTTTGGTTTAAAAGAAAAAAACATTATCAACAACATTGAACACATTTCATATTCATTTAAAGACGTTTCTATAGATATACAGTGAAAATAGCAAGCTACCTGACTAACTACAAATAGATTTTCCATGTTTTATTTATTCCAATAAACAAGATAACAAAAATCAGAAAGAACCGGCGGCCCTGTTAATAGCAACAACACAGATTTAGATTATAGATTTTAAGATAGATAGTTTTATTTTAAAAGGGCTCTCAGGGACATATTTGTATATAACTGACGACTGTAAATATAGATTGTATGGACCCAGTAGAGGAGGTGAAATGCTGCTCACTATTTATTTTAAGCATTATAAGGTATTTTACCTCATTTAAACAATTTGAACTTAAAGGTCCCATGTCATGGCCATTTCTACTAATCATAATTCCATTGTTGAGGTATACTAAAATAGATTTATACTGAGCAATTTTCCAAACTCACATTGGTTTCTCATTCAGTATCTCTGTATAGTATGTGTATTCTCTGTCCTAAACGGCTTGTTGGAGCCCCCCCCCCTCCCTGTGAGCCCAGTGTGCTCTGATTGGTCAAAGGAGTGAGGAACTGCTGTGAGGAGCAGACAGGGGTTCCGTGTCGGAGAAAGACACAGCGAGAACAAGCGAAACTCATCCTGAGCACACACAAACACTCACAGCCGAAGTAAAAACAATAAGTCTGGCTTGATATTGAGTAAGAAAAAGGTTTATAATGCTGTGAGCATGGGTCTGCGGAGAGCATTTCTCTGCAACTCATCTATTACCAGCGTTCATGGAGCTCTATGCAAGTCAATGGGGACTCCCT